GAAAGGAGGAGATGGAATTGGGTTAGAAGGACGATTTGCCAGGAATTGTCAGTGATCAAGGATGGGAAGAAAGCCTGTTAGATGGTTGGGAAAGTTCCCGGCGAAAATATGTCAGTCACGTCATCCTGAATGGTGATTTATATTTCGCGAATCCCTGGACTCGGATCAAGGAGCGAACTTAAGATTTATGGGCCGTCTTCTTCAAAAGCAGCGACGTGTGCAACGTCCCCGTAATGCACACCTGCATGCTTATGCGGAGTGGAGCCGTAGGCTACATGTAAAATTCACGAAACTGGCCAGGAAATATCCGACCTCGAGGAACTTACCTTCGAAAACAATCAAAATTTATATCTTACTTAAACCATCGCTCCGACAACCAGAAGCAACAATATCATCGTCTTTGTTTAATTTAACTTATTCCAAAAATATCCAAAGTAACAGTATCCTCAGCTTAATCATTTTCATCTTTGCTTGACTCAACTTTTACCCAAAAGTATCCAAAGTAACAGTATCTTCGTCTTCACTTTATTAAAAAAATATTCAAAGTAATATCCTCACTTAACCAGTTTCGTCTTAATCTAGCCTAACTTAGTCAAAAAATATGCAAATTAAAGTATCCTTATTTTAACCACTTTCATCTTTGCTTGACCCAACTTTTATCAAAAAGTATCCAAAGTAAGAGTATCTTTAACTTTACCCAATTCAACTTAGTCAAAAAGTATCCAAAATAATAATATCCTCACTGAACCATTTTCGTCTTAATCTAGCCTAAGTTACTCAAAAAATATGCAAATTAAACTATCCTCATCTTGACCACTTTCATCTCTGTTTGACTCAACTTTTACCCAAAGGTATCCAAATTAACAGTATCTTCATCTTCACTCAACTGAACTTATTCAAAAGATATGCAAACTGAAGTCCTCTCATCTCGACCACTTTCATCTTTCCCCAACTCGACGTTCATTCAAAAACCATTCAAGTCGCTTCTAACTTATTCCCCCGGTTTCCAACTCGTTTCCTCTATTTTCCCTTCGCAAGTCCGCGGTAGAAACTTCCTAACCTCGAAACCAATAACAGTAGCGCGTACATTTACAACTGTTCGTCTTCCAAAGATTCCGCGACGTCGGTACACCCGGAAATTCCGTTAGCAGTGTGTTCGACGAGGCTCGAAAAGACACGCTCGTGTCTCTCGAACAAGGCCAATACTCCGTTCTCAAACCTTCAGCTTTCGCAAGCTTGTTTCTTCGTGAAATCCAACCGTACTGTTTCACGGGCTCCAACTACTTAACCGGCCGTTTCGAAACAAAACGAAGAACCAAGAAACGAAAGAAAGAAGAAGAAAAAAAAAACAAAATAAAAGTAGAAACGAAGGGAACAAGGGAAGACAGAGAGAGAGAGAGAGGGGTGAAACGAAACGTAGACGCTCGTTTTCCTCCCTAAGACGAGGGGGAAGACGAGCCTCGAGTCGTCCTCCAGTGACCCAGATGCGAGTATTCCAGCAGCAACGGTTAAAGACGAGCGTACGGAAGGAAGGGACACATCGTGACACATCGGAAACATTGTCCCTGGTGTTCGAATGGTCATCTTCGAGATAAATGGATATACGGGCGCGCATGGTTGGAAATAAAGGTTCGTTGTCGAACGCGCGTTATTTACCGCGTGAACGGTTTTAATCGCGCGCCAGCCAATTTTCTGATTAACCGGGACGAACCTGTTAAGAACGCTCGTTCATGCCAGTCACGTACGGACCATTTGCTGAATCGGCCACATTTTTTTCCAACCTCTGCCCGAGTATTCTTGGTTTAACAAATTTTCTTTCTTAATGTTAGCCGGGAAGCTTCAGGCGAATTTATAATATTCGACAAATGTTGAACAGTGTAACGAAATTAGCGATTTTTTGTGATCGTTCAGAGATCATTTTCTCGATCGTAGGCATTTTCTAAAATTAAGCTCCAGTATTTTTGGTTTATTAAATTTTCTTAACGAAATTTAGTCAGTCGAAGTTAGCGATTTTTTGTGATCGATCAGAGACCATTTGCTGGATCGTAGGAATTTTTTAAAATTAAGTTCGATCATTTTTGGTTTACTACAAAATTTGTAACTCATCGTACACAACATTTAACAAGCGTTGATCAATGCAACAAGGATGTTTGTCTTCGATTAGACAAGAGGCAGCCAGTTTCGGCGAGCAACTTCGATCGCTAAGTGATCCACCATGCTGTTTACCTTCGATTATAATTCATAGATTCCTAGACACGAAGTGCGAGCCACGCTAGATTTAAGGATCTTCGATGCGAAGCGTATCTAACATTACCGAGGAACACAAACCTCGCAAAGAGAAACATATCGTATCGCGAAAAACACCACTGGAATATCATTTCACTCCAAGATTTTTTCTTCACAACGACCAGCTTCCTTGAACAGCTCGTTCCTTCTTGAAAAACAATCCTACCGAACAGAACATAATACGTTTGACGCGTTCCCTAGCAAACCAACACATTTCCCTCCAAATCCCAGATTTTCTCGAGGTTTTTTCCAGTTTTAAAAAAATTCCTCCGTGAATTCTTTTTCGATAATCGAATTTCCCGAATCAGCAATTAAACACGTGCATACGTATGTAAAACACGCGAGTGTTTGCAGAGGTGAGACGGCGCGTGTTGAAGCAGCGAAATGAAGTAGCGCAAGGCAATGCTTAGCGCGAGCAAGATACCGGGATTAAGTAGTATAGGTCCGTATTTAGACGATCGATTGGTTCGCGGGCCCGTGACTTCCGTATCGGAGCGAGGCTGGCTCCGTAATTAACCAGGCGATGTCTTAATGCATATAATATCGAGAATTAAGCGGCAGGTAGGGTGTAATTAAAGGGGCTGTACCCGTGGATTAAGTAGCACGTGTCAATAATTAGCGACGCGATAACTGCACGGCCTGCCGCCCGAGATTAAGTAGTGTAGATCAGTATCTGTCGAACCGGTGCGTCTGTTATCTGCGTTAAATCGCGCAACAGGCTGTAATTAGCGGTACGGTTGTTCATGCTTCGCGTCGAATTTACATTTAACAGTGTTTCACGGAAGGAAATTGAATTTTTCCTTGGCGAAACTGCAAGTGAAGTAGTACGAGCCTACGATAAATCGGGCGGTGGAACTTGAACGAACTGTTGGAAGCAGACGAAAGTTTAGGAATAGAGAGGAAACAGAGAAGAATGTCAGATATTCGAATGGAGGAAGTTGTATTAATATATTCTAATTCAAACGTAAAGAACGGAACGTTCTGTACTCTATCTCGGAGTTGCGTTATTCGAAGATAAACTCGGAGATTTCAGAGTGTATCGGATAGAGCTCGTTGTGAAACTTCTTGTTCCAACAGCTCTAAACACAAACTAACACATCTTTATGCAGCAATATTCGGACTCGTAATTGTTCAATTCGCGGTTCGAAATTGGAACTACCGATAGAAAGTGAGCAACGTTGAGAAAATACAATTCACGAAAGCACAGAATACACGCAGACGTGTGCTTTACGAAAGTACAGAGCGTACGTTCATTTCGAATAGAATGAAACGATCCACACGGCGATGCGTCTTCGCCGATATCGGATCCCCGATGAAAAATCTGGAAA